GGGGCAGGCGGCAGGCGGGAATCAAACTCATGCGGAAGTGGCCTCAGATTTTCAGGGCTGTGCTTTAACCCGCTGCGCCACCAGGGAGGGCCCAACCTGGAGTTTTTAATAAGACTGAATGGAACTCTCACCCATGGGGGTGGGAATGTACCGGTGCAGCCTGTCTGAAAAACAGCACGGCAGTTCCTTGAAGGGTTAACCAGTTATCTCATCAGTCCCACTTCTGTATGAATACAGGATCAAACAAAAATGTGTATCTGAAATTACGCATAAGCATACATGGAATTACATGGCACTATGCAGACTAACCGAATGCCCATCAACAAAATGTTGATGACAACAAAATGTAATGCAGCTACACAGTGGGATATTATTGGGCTGCACAGAGGAGTTAAACGCTGCTTCCTGCTGCAACATGGATGAAACCTGAACATTTTGTAAGTGAAAGAGCTCATAAGGACTACATATTATGATTCCATTCATACAGAATTCAGAACAAAGGATGGAGAGCTGTCAAGGGAGGAGAGATATGTAGGTTTATGGGACGATGGCTACTGCCTCTGGGACATCCTTTTTGGAGTGATAAAAGCTGTTCTAAATTATGTAGTGGTTGGTGATGGCTGTACAATGTTGTGAATATACTAGAAACCACTGTGTTGTTCAATTTGAATGGGTGAGTTGTAAGGTATTATATCTAAGTTAAGTTGTTTTTTTTAGAGGAAAAAAAAGCTGATTCACCTACTCCTTGCAAACATCACATTACAGTTTGGTTCAGAATCACCCACTTGATTCTCATCTCTTTGGCTGCATTATACTTAAAGAGTACTTTCAACAAGGCCACAGAGACAAGGAATACTGCAAATCCAAATCCATAAGAGAAAGGTGGAAGCAGCCTACCACACAGCTCCCTTCCCCCCAGCCCCACTGGAGCCACACTGCTGAGCCTCTCCGGGTCTCGGCCCTGTCACCATACACAGAAGGGGTGAGCCGGGCGGTTTCAAAGCATCCTTTTGTGCCAAACATCTTAAGCATCCAAAAAGGTCTATTTGGAACACAGTTTATGGCAAGAGATGCTGCCATCTACAGGCTCACTGCAGAAACATCTACACCATTATAAAACCAGCCCAATTCCCATCGGTGTCCTGTGCTACTCTTAAATAGGCTGTTATCAAGAAAGGTGATGGTACTTGATCAGAAGGGGTGTCTTTCCAAACTTTCGAAGTCATGATTTTAAAATGACTAATCTAGTATTTAATTATGTGGTTGCCTGAATATTTACTTTGTCCAGTCAGAAAGGTAACTTCTTAAAGGTTCAAGTGGACTGGCTTAAGGGGGTGGGATAATATGCTAACAAAGTAAGTCAAAGACATAGGCTACACAATAGCATATAAGGAATGATAAAGATTTTTATCTAAAACACACACACATAAATACAAAATGGGGACAGAAAGGGAAAAGAGGGAAAAGTAAAATATTTGCTGTGGAGAAGACGGAAACCAGGAAACAGTGTCCAAATGGGACAGATAAAAATGGAACCAGGACACATACAAAAACCTTTCTAAGCTTGGTTCCTAACCTACTCCCTGTGGGATAAAAGATCACTGGCCTCTCATCTTCCTGCTCTCTTCCATTTAAAGAACTGAGGAAGGGGGGCTCTCCCTGATGGTGCAATGGGTTAAAGCACTGCATTATGAAACTCTCCGAAGCCACTGCAGCCAAGAGTTCAATCCCTGGCCAGGGAGCTGACCCACATGGTGTGGCAGACCTCTCCTGACCCGCCGGCAGCTCCCCTCAGCAGTGTACTTTGTCAATCTTCCTATTCTTCTCCCCACTCTGTCTCCGGTGAATCCTCTCACCTACCACACCTCTGGCCTGTACCACCCCAGTTCTGAAAGCATAAATAAATCTTAAAAAAAAAAAAAAAAAGAATTGAGGGAGGTAAAGCCTTTATTGCTACTACCATGCAACGATTCCAAATTGACAAACAGCAAGAACACTACTGCCTAAGAGATGCTTTAATTGTCAGCATCTCTTTAGGGTCAGGAACAGCAAATCCAGAGATTTATTTCCAAGCTCCAATCTACCTACCACTTATATCCTTCAAAAATATTCTCTAGCAAATGCAGGCATTACAATCTCAAACTTCAAGCTATACTACAAAGCCATAATAATCAAAACTACATGGTACTGGAACAAGAACAGACATACAGACCAGTGGATTCAGATAGAAAACCCAGATATAAGCCCACAGGTTTATGAACAGCTAATCTTTGACAAAGGAGAAAAGAAGATACAATGGAACAAACAAAGTTTGTTCAGCAAATAGTGCTGGGAAGCTACATGCAAAAAAAAAAAAAAAATGAAACTAGATCACTACCTCTCACATACACAAAAACCAACTCGAAGTTGATTAAAGACCTAGACATAAGAACAGAAACCATAAAATACCTGGAAGATGGGCCAAACTATACTATATGACATACACTTCAGCAACATCTTTAAAGATAGAGCACCCAGTGCAACAATAGTAAAGGTAAGGATAAACAGATGGGACTACATCAAGTTAAAGAACTTCGGTACAGCAAAAGAGACATTACAAAAAACAGACAGACATCTCACTGATTGGGAACATATTTCTCACACAAAACTTGTGATAAAGGATTAATCACAAAAATATACAGAGAACTGATGAAACAACAAAAATAAACAACCCCATCAAAAAATGGGCAGAAGATCTAAAAAAAAAAAAAAAAAGACACTTCTCCATAGAAGAAATGAAGATGGCCAACAAGCATATGAAAAAAAAATGTTCAAAAATCACTTGGAATAAGGGAGATACAAATTATGAGATACCACCTCACCTCAGTGAGAATGGCACATCTTCAAACAACTAGCAACAACAAATGTTGGCAAGGATGTGGAGAAAAAGTAACTCTCCTGCACTGCTGATGGGAATGCAAACTAGTACAATCACTATGGAAAACTGTTTGGAGGTTCCTCAAACTGCTCAACATGGAGCTTCACTACGACCTAGCAATCCCACTCCTAGGTATCTACCCAAAAGACACAAAAACACTGATTTAAAAAAGATACCTGCACCCCCATGTTTATTGCTGCTTTATTCACAATTGGAAAGACATGGAAAAGAGCCCAAATGCCCAAAACTGGATGACTGGATTAAAAAGATGTGGTACATATACACAATGGAGTATTACTCAGCACCCAAATAAAGACACATATATTTTGCAGCAACATGGATGGAGCTGGAAAAGATCATGCTTAGTGAGATAAACCAGAAAGAGAAAGAAAAATACCGGATGGTTTCACTCATAGCAGGAGTATAATGGACCAGGCGAGACAATAACAAGAATAATAAACAGCCATATACCAGAGACATTTTGTGGGGGTGGAGTGGGGAATGGGATCAAAAACCGGGGGTGGGGTGGGAAGTGCACGGGACTATGGTGATGGCACATGGGTGACTTGGTGATGGGAAACCCGTGGGGATTACAATTGAGATGGGGTAAAAAATGTACAAAATGATGTAAAAATAAACTGATATAAAAAAAGTTATGAACATTAGGCTAGTTAAAAAAAAAAAAAAAAAAGATCATGCTTAGTGAAATAAGCCAGAAAGAAAAGGAAAATACAGGATGGTTTCTCTCATAGCAGGAATATAACGGAGCAGGCAAGAAAATAATAATAATGAACAGCCATATACCAGAGACATTTTGTGAGGGATCAAAAACAGTGAGGGGGAAGGAAATGCACTGGACTATGGTGATGGCACACGAGTGACTTGGTGATGGGGAACCCAAGGGTTTGCAACTGAGATGGGAAAATGCACAATATGTAAAAATAAACTATTATAAAATTTTTTAAAAAGTTCTCTAGCAAGTACACTCAAAGTAGGTGAATGAGCAAGCCGCCTACTGCTCCATTACTCAGAGGGGTACGCATGAGAGTAGAGTGCAGGTAAGTCCAGGTCCAGTTCTCAGGTAGGACAATGAACCTAAATACCAAAGGAGAACTAGAACATACCGAAATAAA